GTAATAATATAGTGTAAAGCGCATAGAGCCTGCTGTTGAGCGGGGATATGCGCTATACAAATGCTATCTATTATTATTATTATTAAGAATATAATCCTATCTCGAGTCAAGGAACGACTGACAAGCGTTAACCAATGAGACTGGCGTTATAAGGTGCCTAGTCTTCCATCCTACTTTAATAAATGTTGCTCTGTACCTCTTTTCACCATCCCTGCAAAATGTTAAAAAAAGGTCCTTACATTACTCAGAATGTTCAGATATGTAGCTTGATCTGGAAGAGAATTCGTAAATACAAGTAAATGACTGCTCCTGACTTCAGTGGTCAGACCAGAGATTTTCACAGTATTAATGTTAACTCTCTTATATATTATGTTCCTGTAGAACTCAGGGGAAATTTACACTTGCCAATGCGTATGGGTGTTATTTGAAAGGAAAGGAAACAATATAGCGTATTTCATTTATTATAAAACAGAATGTTCTAGAAAAGTAAAACACATTGCAAAAGTACAAAGTGTTCCTCACTTATTTTTCCATACTGAAGTTTTTCTTTATTTGTATAGCCGGACAGTTTTGGCATATGGGTGGATGGAGGGCGCCACCTGTCAGTGGTAGGTCCTACTTCTTTACTTTTCCCTCTGTCTGTCTGTCTGTCTGTCTGTCTGTCTGTCTGTCTGTCTGTCTGTCTGTCTGTCCGTCTGTCTGCCTGTCTGTTTTTCTCTCTGTCCGTTCGTCTGTCCGTCCGTCCGTCCGTCCGTCTGTTTGTTTGTCTGTCTGTCTATCTATCTTACTTTTTAAGCACTAAATGACTATGCAGTGTTGATGTGCTTCTGTTTACTCAAACAGAGTTTTGACACAAGGTGCTGCCACCTCTGTGCTTTCACCAAGATTACTAAACAAGAATATTACATGAAATTATATTTCCTTTCTCAGTATACTAGATCTACTATATTCTCACAAGAATGCAATGCTCATGACTTTTAAATCCTCAACTTAATTGTTTTTGAAGAGGTGGTTGGGCGTCTTATCTGTGTCATTTATCCTTATCAAATTGCCTCCCTCCCACACCGATCCCACCCGGCCACATGGCCGCCCGCCTAATCCCCACTATATCCCACCCTACCCCATCCCATTTAGTGTTATCATGATGTTGCTGCCTTTGTTACCAAAACAACCAGTGACGAATTCCCAAAGCAGACTCGAGATAACTGATTCTTTTAAGTGAAAGACAACAATGTAGTCTGCACACAGAAAAAAAGGATCCCTTTTTGGATACTGCGCTGAGCTTCGCGCTCAACTTCGTTATTTCGTTTCCTGTCCTTAAATGCGGTAGCCTTCCACGCAAGACGTACAGGACCGGTCACATCAGTGTGTGGTATCGCAGGAGGCCATCTTTTTGTGTTCTTTGTTGTTACTGTTGCTGTTGCTGTTGTTGTTGTGTTGCTGTTGGTGCTGGTGGTACTCCTGCTTTTAAGTCGTTTTCTAGAAAGAAAAAAAAGCGGCTTATGAGGCGTTGTCTGTCCACTGAATATATCATAATATTAATCTAAATAATACGAATCACTGTATTAAGGTCCTCACTCGTTTGTCTAAGTTTGCATCCATAGTAAAAGCCTCATTCAGTTGAACCGTTCCACGTCATCTTTGTTAAAAAGCAGAGAGCGACCCTACAGAAAGCGTGCGGTACTTACAACAAAAAGATATTACATTAACATAATTTCTACTCCTGTTGGATGTAAATTAACAAAAGTTAGCTTTTGTTGTTTTGTTTCGTTTTGTTTTGTTTTGTTT